CCCCCCCCTCCCTTTTATCATGCTGTAGCCCCGCTGATCGGTGAGCCCGCGGTGGGGATGAAGGGGAGGGGAAGTCGAGTTGAGGGAAGGAAAATGACGAGATGAGGGAAGAAGGAAACAGCCTCATGTTTCTGACATGGGATGTCAGTGTCACTCGTCGTTGGAGGGAGACATCAGACGACCAAACGTTCGGGACCCAACCCAATCTGGGGACTAGTACCTTGCAGGACACGATGAATGAGGACTGGCCAAACGTCTGGCGGCGGTGAGGATCGTGGCTCTTTGCGCATGCTAGAGCTTGTGCTTGTGCTTGTGCTTGTGCTTGTGCTTGTGCTTGTGCTCGTGCGCTCGTCCTGAACTGGGCTGAAGCGGTCGTGCTTGCTTGCATCAAGGTCGGAGTGACATCCCGTTTTGGAGGCTCTTACAGCATGTGGGCCGGATGCCCCTCTTAGCGTGAACTGTGCACAGGTATGGGCAGGCACCTAATAGAAAGGAGCGAGATCAGGTAGGTCCTAACCTTCCCTTAAGGTTCCTCACCTACCTTTAGGCCGGGAGACAAGGTGGCAGGGCAGGTGCGGTACCTTACAGTAGGGCAGGTTCGATGGTACGGTGCCCTGACAGGGAGGGCAAGGGCAGGCTGCTCAGGGGAAATCTAGTTGGTCCCTGCCGTTTGGGACAGCCCTCACCCACTGACACACAAGACCCAGGCACAGGGCAAGCGCGACCCTGTAACTGGACAGTTTGCGCTGACACCCCCGCCGCCGTCAAAACGTCACACAGACATCTTCAGACGCCAGGGCGTCCTGTTCCAAGCTGTAAGGGTTCCAGACATCGAGGCCAACCTTCAACATCAGACGGAGTATCCACAACCGATGACCTCGTACCTGAGCAGTACCGGCATGGTCCCTGGAGATGCATAGACGAGCTTGGTATCGGCCGAGTCACCTAGCCTTTCTTGCAGTGCATCCCCTTCTCGTCTCATCACGTCACCCACCGCCTTTGCCATGGAAACATCTCGAGGCCTCAGAGATTGACGGACGTCCCTGGAAGGACCCGTCGAGAGACCCACGCAAAGAGTCAGTAACAAATGGCCGGTCAGCTGGGCGTTAATCGTAACTCGACGGAGAACTCCTTGCCTGCGGCCACGGTCGAGGCCCTTCTTCACCATCCGTACTGTAAACGTATTTTTTCCCTACTGTTGCCCTGCCACCGCAGGGAGAGCCGTGACATCCCAGCCATGGGACGAGAAAGAGAAACATGTTGAGAAATGGACGGATACTCTGATCTGATGCAATGCGAGCTCTTTTGTTGATACGGCTGACCAGATCTAGACCGGCAGTACGGGCCCGATTTGCTTTGCAGCAGCATGCCGGACACGGCGAGAGCAAGCACAACATACAACGTTGACGATACTCGTCGACATTGAATGGGCCTTTCTTTGAAATTCAAGCGGCCGGACGAGGCGAGCAGGCAAGGCCCTTCACCTGAATGGCGTGAGGCTCGACCAGGCCTCTCCTCTCGCTTTTGGCCACCACTCAATTTACAATGTCCGCGCCATTCCCAAACCGTTCTCAGATCCCTCTCGAGACGAAATTAGAGCCCGAGGCCGCTACCCATGACCATGCTGTTTTTCATGTTCTTGGCTCTCGCTGTGCAGTCGCGCGCGCAGGCTCCAGCCGAAGCTACCGATTCTGAGGCCCTGCTAGCTCGCCCGCTGCAACGCCTGTGCGGGCGACTGCTCATCAGTCACCTTTTCATGAACCCTGCCAGAGCAAGCGTCCGCCCGCGGGCGACGCAGGAAACGGACAGAGGGCGGGAGGGGGAAGCAGAGAGAGAGAGAGATGTTCAGATGACCGTCGCTCGATCTACTCGATTTGACTCGACGAAACCGAATCCTCGACGTGTGGGTGTTGAAAAAAGCGCACGACTGTTGGGCCCTCGACGTCAGCCAGATGGGATGAGCCCCCCCCCCCCCCCCC